GGTATGAGATTGAACTATGTGAACCCTGAATCTACAGCACTTTCAAAGCACAGTGATTTTTCGTATGTTTAGTTACTGACTCATCACTATGTAATCCTGTTTATGTTGAGAACATAATTTTAAAAGACATGTAAAATATTCTTAGTAACTGAAAATAAGCGACATAAAATAGGAACTATACACTTTAAAAAGATTTAAAATGCTGCTTTTTAAAAAGTTTGAAACAGGATTTTCATTATTTGGGCTATTACTTTCCCCACCACAGTTTACTGTGGTATTGAAATGCTAGGTTTCAGAGAGAGTTTTGTAGTTGAAGTTGGATAAAAGGTTAATAAATGGGGTTCCAGAAATGTTACATCAGAAATTATACCATCTCACACACAAAAAGAGACACACAGAGAGAAATATATGAGTTTCTTGAGCTAGACAGAAGACCTAGGTTGTAAACTGTATATCCTGTTTACTTTTGAAATGCCACAGTATTATTGTAGCTGGCAATCCTTTGTGGTGATTAGTGAAGAGAGGGATGTCAGTGTTACACAGATGTTAACTGCAGACAACTGAAACAGCTGGTTAAGTCAGATTTTGCCATTTTGGATTTTGTGGTAGATATCTTGCAAGTCTTACTGACCTTTCAGCTGAGCTGATACTGCAGGAAGAATATGTCAGCCTTTTAACTTAACTGTGTATTCAAGCTGGGATAATTTGATGCTTGTTCTTGTTCGTGGTCAAAATGAGCAAACCAGGAACTGAGATGCAAACCACATAACTTCCTACCTCACTCCAGTGGGACTGGAACATCTATTTTTTATTGTATTAAATTTTCAACATAAAATAAACAGATGACTGATAGAAATGGGAAAAGCACTGTGAGATTATGCATGTGCAAAGAGCATTTGTGATCCATTCAAAACCAAACTTGTTTGTGTTCAAAGGTGCAAAAACAATTTGTAATCTGCCTAGTGGGGTGACTGAACATCCTTGGTTTGAAGTAAATTAATAGTAGTGATGTATTTTGTGCATGCATACGCATAGGGTCTGTTTGTGTTTTCTCCTAAATTCCCAATAAAGCTTCATTCAGAAGGGGGCTTAAACTGTTCCATCATTTCTATTTAATGCAGCACTGCTACCCTGGAAAGCCCCTCTGTGAACTCAAACTTTGTTCTGTAAGAAGAACATCGTACTTCTGATACCACCTAGTATCATCTAAGGTATGGGTGGTGGTGAGATTGTTTATCCTGCTTCAGTTCACTCTTTAGTCCTGCTTTGTAGCCAGAGCACAGGAGGCTTCTGTAGCTTCAACAGGTTCCTTTATTGCTTCCAACTGGGAGAGAACCAGGGCTATTTTTGGGCAGGAATGCACAGGAATGGAGTTCCGTCTGGCTTCAAAGTTGGCCACGCCCACTACAGCCAAAACCTCTGCATGCGTGGCTTCAGAGGGAAGGCCTGGAGAGTGACCTGCCCCGGTGACTTCAAGGCGGGTGGGCCAGGCCCCCCCTGGAAGGATCGGGGAGGCATTTAAATGCCTCCCCGTGCCTTCCCCGGCCTGTCCAACTGCCTTCCCTTCAAGGGGGGGCTTGCCCAGGCTCCCTGCAGCTGCGGGGCGCACAAGCAAGCTAAGAGAAGGCATGGGGGTGTCGCCTAATATGCTAATGAGCTGTGCTGTCAGGGTGTGGCCTAATATGCTAATGAGTTTCTGCTGTTGGGTGTGGACTATTATGCTAATGAGTTCCTGCTGGGTTTTTTCTACAAAAAATGCCCTGGAGAGAACACATATAAATATAGAACACTAACACACACACACACAGAGTACAGCCAAAACCTAGGTGAGGCCTCTCTCATACAGGCCTGGAGAGGGAAACAAATTAGATCTTGAGGGCTCATTTAAAAGTGTATACTCACACCCCACAGTGATAACCTGTTTATTTGCGTATGTGTTTTAATGAACACTGGATTCTGTTGTTATTATTTGGCATTCATTACATCTTTCTGATTTCAGGCCAGAAGAAAATAGTCTCATGCCACCTTAAAAGCTAACAGATTTGCTGTGAAATAAGCTTCTTTAATGGAGTAGAACTGCCGTCTGATTAATAAATGTATCCTTATTTGGAGTGTGTGTGGGAGTATATAACATATAACCACTGTTATACAGAGAAAAATTATAAACAGTGGGATCAAAATGCAAAAGGTACAGTTACTTGTAAGACTCAAATATTTTCAAAGTAAACACAGTTACCATTTATAATAGCAACTGATGTGCAATCACAGTCTCCTTAGTTTTGCTGAGTTCAATGAGAAATGCCTCCTTTTTGTGAGAAATGCTTCCCTTTTGAGTCAAATTTCCCCATGTTCTTTAATTTTGCAATTGTACAATGGAGTAATTTTTGAAGAATGGTCACTTTAAGGTCAGCAACAGAGTACCCTGGGACAGTGCACATTTAAACCACTTGTTTGGAAGAAGGGCTCAAATTGCAGAGGCCGGGGGGGGGGGGGGGGGAGACCGCCTACCTTTTGTGATTTTTTAGGGATTGTTCTTAGAATGCTGTATTTGGCATTGGTAACACTATTGAACAGTCAATGACACAGAGTGTGGGGTTTCTAGCTTTCAGTAACAGCCCTGTTACCTTTTCTTCCATAATTCCAGCACTGGAAGGCATAAACAAACCCAAGCCACTGATGCTATTGCCACTGCATGTATCCATCTGGATAGAGCGCCCATCCTCCAGTCTCTTTGTGTTGCTGGTGCACCGAATTATTAAGTCCATCCTTTAGTGGAGCAGCAATTTTTTTTAAAAAGCCAGACGTTCAGAGATTTGTACAGCATTCGGTGTGAAATTAATACTTCAAATTTTTCTTTATGCATAATATTTCTACGAGGAAACCTAATTTTATCTGTTTTTTCTTTGAAAAAAGTCTTGTTTTGTGTGGATTTTAATTTGATCAATATTAGGCATATTTCTGTCATTGAACCAACTTTTCTGATACCACAGACCTGGGCTTTTAATATTTTTGGACCAACTGCCCCCCTCAAAAATATGCAATATATACCTGTGAAGATGTTGGTGTGCCAGCAAATGGAGAGGGATGAGGTCTGCACTTAGCCAGACACACTGGGAGCACAAGGAAGCCTCAGAAGTCCTGCCAGCATTGAGGGGCTTGCCTCAGACCTGATGGCAGCTATGTAGGACTGCGAGGTGATAACAACCCATTGCCTGATCTCACACCACCAGCCCCAGTGATACTACCAGAACCTCAGGTACTCACCTGAATTTCATAGGCAGAGAACCAGTCCTGTTTACCAAGCAAAATGCCACTGCTTGGCATGTATGGGGGTTGCCTACTCCTGCTACTGAACTCCTACGCTAGTTTCAGAGGGGCAGAGACAGTACGTTATGCAAAATTATGATTTGTATTCCTATTTAAGCCAGTGTGCTAAAAATAAAGCATCCTCAGTTTTTCTGATTGGTTAGAGAAATGTATGAACATTGTATTGACCAAAAGTCACGACTGTCTCTTTTCTTTAGCAGACTGAAAGCCCTAATTCTAAAAAACAAAAACCACACTGTGTGCTGTGATCCACTGCAAAAAGAGAGAAAGACACAGACATAGACAGAGAGAGAGATGAAATGTTTTTCTAATGTGTTTAATTTCTCTCGGTTTCTGGAATAGCTGGTGTCAGCAGTGCAGGGTAAAAAAAATAGAGGGCATGGGGCTCAAGCTCACCTGAAGATCCCCCACCACACACACTGTAAAGCCACCTTATCAGGGCACCAACAGGGCTGCCAGTTTTTCCTGGCAGGGTTCTTGTGGCTTTGAGCATAAGCAGAAATTCAACAACATATCAAAGGCAAGTAAAGCTTCACTGTGCCCTGGTGCATTCCATGTACTTGCCAGGAGTCCTGATAGAAAAGCCAAGTGACAGCTTTTTGTGCTGCTACACCATCCATCTTCAGCAGCTCTCTCCTTTTTATTTATTGCTTGCTCCCTGCTTGGCCCTGCAAAGTGGTCACCTGCACAAGGCTCAGCTACAGCACCTCTTTCCAGAGCCAAGGCTCAGCCCTGGAACATGTAAATAATTTAATACAAAGCCGAGTCCTTGAAGCTCCTTGCCTGTACTGCAAACATCTGACAGCATTTTATTCCTGTCTCATTTTAATCCCGTCGTCGAGAAGTTAACACGAGAGAGCTCGGGAGAGCAACCAGCCCCGGCCCCGGCCTTCGCGGTTTCAGTGCCCTTCCACTGCCACTCTGGTTCAGAGCACCCATCCCTCGGAGGACACTTTCTACACCGGAGGCCGCGGGGATCTGCGCCCGCCTGTCTTCTTCTCGCTCCCTTCGGCCAGCTCGCCTGGCTGGAGATAAACCCCTGGAGGCTGCAAGCAAAGGGGAAGGAGGCGGAGGGAGCTCCAGCGCTCCACGCACAGACAGGCGCGCGCGCATTCCGAGGGAGGACGAGTGCGCCCGAGCAGCGGCCGCGGCGGCGACTTTGCTCTTTAAATTGGTCTCAAAGCCGATTACCGCTGATCTCCCACGTGATATCTCCCCTTCTGGCGCCTGCTGGTGTGGGTACGGGGGGGGCGGGGGGAGACCTGGAAGGGCCGTGCTCGGCGACAGCCTGCGAAAAAGCGCGTCTCGAACAACTTTTCTGGGGCGCATCCTTAGTGAGGGGCTAGGCATGAGCCTGGCGCCCAAGGGAGGGCTGAGAAGGCTGGAGCCCCTCGGGTTCGAAGTGGCGGAGACCTGCGACGACCCCCGGCGGCAGTAGCGGCCGGAGGGGCGGGGGCAGCAGCACCACCCCCAGGGCAGAGGAGAGCGCCAGCGCGAGGTCTCCTTAGCAGCGCGCCACAAGCCGAGAGCGACCGCCTCGCCCGCGCCGCCAGAGAAACCGCGCTCATGAGGCGCTGCCGCCGCTGCTCGACGACGACGGGCGCCCGCTGAGGGGAGAGGACAGGCAGTGGGGCGTCAGCGACCCGGGTAGGCACCGCCAACTTGGAGGTATCATGCAGAAAAGCGTGCGCTACAACGAGGGACATGCCTTGTACCTGGCCATGCTGGCCCGCAAGGAAGGCACCAAGCGCGGTTACCTGACCAAGAAGACGGCGGAGACGAGCCGCTGGCATGAGAAGTGGTTCGCGCTCTATCAGAACATGCTCTTCTACTTCGAGAGCGAGCAGAGCACCCGGCCCGCCGGCGTGTATATGCTGGAAGGCTGCACCTGTGAGAGGACGCCCGCGCCCAAGGGTGCTTCCGCCGGCAGCGCCAAAGACGCGGCGTTGGACAAGCAGGCAGCTGCCCACCCCCCCCGTCCCTGCGGGGCTGGCCCCTTTCCCCTGATCCCTCACCCGCGCTTTCCCCAGTCTCGCTCTCCTCGTCCAATAGAACGTCAGCACGGAAACGGGCCCTGGGCGGCGTGCCTCCGGGGCGAGGAAAATCCATATCTAGACATTTTGTTATTCCTTCGCCTTAGACGGCACAACCTTAGTGACATATAGCTTCTCTTCCGAAGTTTTGGGCTGGCAGGCGAAGCACCTGCGCGGGTTATGGCGAGAGAGGGTTGCCCCTTTGGCAGGATTCAGGTCCCCAAAGCTTGCTTTGAAACACTAAGAATGTGGGTAATAAATGCTACCATCATCTGCCCGTGTAAAATCAGGGTATATACAATCAGTGTGATGCCGTTATTCGTGTCTGACATGTTATTTCTGAAATAAAGGCTGAGATGATGTTTTGTGAAGATAAGGAGGAGCTTGGGTGTTCAATGTTTGTTAGTACCACAGCTTCCCCCCCTTCGTTTCTTTTAAGCAGTGCTAATTTTGTATAAGGCAAGGGCTACCTGTAAGCCACACCTGATGATCTGAAAGCCCCCTCCCATAGCTAGCTTTTTGTTTTCTTGTCACCCTAGCTGGAGTGAAAAGTATGTATACATTAGGACTGCATTTGAGATCCTCTTGTGATGCCTGAGAATTCTGGAGTGTCATTCATTTTCCAGGAAATATAGGCATTTCAGAGGTACTTAGCCAGTTGGCAATCAGTCACCTGGAGTTTTTGTCTCAGTTGCCAACATGGTTGAATTGGCCACACCACACTTCAGTTGTGTGTGAGCAGTTTGTGGTTATTCTGTGATGAAGGAGAAGGACTCTGTGCCTGTTTAGAGCCACTCTATTCTATTCTAGTGCTGAGCCTTCCCTATTCAAGATTCAGGGACTGAGAGGTGTAACTGATGCTTAATATGTTTAGAGATTACAGTTATAGCCACACTAACTCCTTCAGAGAAAGTTCTGTGGTGTACCATGGTTTACATCCCCTGCCAGTTTTTCTGAAAGTTGGAATATACACTTTTTCAAGAAGTGAAAGAGAACAAAAATTAAGTGAAGTGGTGACTGGAAGTTTACCAACTGTACATTCCATTATGGGGAAAAAATCATACCCCCTTTCGTCTTACTACTTTCTGTAACTTTAGTATTTTGGAGTGATTTTCTGTTACTGATTAAATACAGCCTATGACATCATTTTCTGTAGAAAAATATACCCTCGGGAATTAATCTAAACCACATAATGTTTTGGAATCGCTGCCATCTGTAAACCTTTTACTATAATATCTGTTCAGATATTTGGATATAGATAGACCTGGCAATCTTCTCAGCCCTTTTAAATCAGTAAAATGATTTTCTATACACAAAGTCAGTTTGTCATCAGAAATATAGCACTCTGTAATTATTTCACTGTATTCATTGGATGTCAATGGGTAATATTCATGAGTTTTAATTTCATTTGTTTATTTAAACACAATCTAAAGACTTCACTTATATGTTTAAGAGGCAACTACTGCAGTTTTTAGCTTCTGGAGGTTTGGAGTGGAGACTCAAAGTTCGATGATAATGCAAATGTAATTTTTAGTTGGTATCTTGAATCTGAAGTAGGGATACAGCTACAGATGAATTTATCTGAACATTTTGAATGGAAGAGTCTGGCTGCTGAATTAGGTTTTAAATATATAAGTTATTGAGGAAGGGTGATGCCTTCATGGTAGAATAGAGTTCTTAGGTTCAACCTCTGGCACATTTTGTTAAAAAATGATTTCACACTGGAAAGTCTTTACAAGTTACAGCTGAATGGATCTGCTTTAGTGGATACTAAGCTGGATAGGTCTGACTCAGTAGAAGGCAGCTTCTTATGTTCATAAGTTATGCAAATTATACGACTGTATACAAGTAACATGGTTTTGGTAAAATAACAAGAGGTAGTAATAATGTATTAAATATTTTATCCCAGCTTTCACTGCGTTGCTGCAGTCCAAGTAAGAATCTGATAGGTACTGTCTTATCTTTCCTTGATGCATAGAATCCAGCAGGTGTCAGTTGCTTTGGAAGTGCTGGGTTTTAAAAAAAGAAAAATACCTTTCTGAATTGCACTTTTGGCACTTTGGTATATGTAAAGGATGGAATGAAGTCCATCCCTTTTTCTGCCAATACCCTGGTGGCCTGGAGAGAGATCCAGAAACTGCCAATCAGTGCACTTTGAGGCAGGGGGAGTAGCAAAGGGGGGGAAAGAGCTGTTTTAATGGAGGTTTAAGTCAGATAGGGTTTAGAGCATATTAATCATTCTGGTTCCCCAAAATGTTGGAAAAATGCGATCAATTTGGGATTATATCCATTGTTGATGGGGTTGTGATCATATAAACAAATTCTGATAAGAGATAATAGTGCAAATCAAAGAGATCACTGGTCATGAGGTAACTTTTTCTCTAGAATCACTATTATTGAACTATTGGCCAAATCGATCGACAGTTAAACCAAGACAGGATTTAATTGCCACTTTATTAGCTGCAGCCAAATTAACAATAGCTTCCAAATGGAAAGATAACTCATCACCTTCTTTATTGAATTGGTATGACAACGTTTGGGATCAGTTCATAATAGGAAAAATTGCAGACAATTTGATTCAATTGAATTCTGGCAATTATCAGTCTAAATTTGTGGAGATTTGGTTCCTCGTGTTACAGTAGATTACTGACCAGGGAATAATTCCTTCAAACCCTTATTTTCATTACATGTTGTTTTTGTAAAGGAGTAAGCGTTAAATTATGTTCTTTCCGCGCCGCTTGTCAAGTGTTATATAGAGGATTTATTTTTTGTACCATCTTAATTTGGATTATACGGTAAAGATATTAAGATAGAAGTATACACCCATATTGTTAAATGTAGTTTATTTATCTTTTAGTGAAGTCATTTAACTGTTGCTCATATATAATGTATATTGTTGAAAATTATTGAATATATATATATATTTTTAAAAGATAGGGCTTAGTGCAGGAGTTTCAAACATATGGCCTCTTGGCTGGAACTGGCCCATCCAGGGCTCTTATCCGGCCTGCAAGCAATTGGGGTGAGGGAGGTAAGGCAGGAGGCTGCTCATGGGGGCAAGCGGGTACCCGAGACGTAGTGTGTGTGATCAAAGCTGTTAGGAAATAGCAAGGAAATGGCTAGGGGGTGGGGCTAACAGGCTGAGGTAAAATAGTGTAGAGGAATGGCAGTGAAGGTGGAGAAGAGGAAGTATGGTGTTTTTTCCCACCCACCTCCTCCCACCTCAGTGAGGGTTGGTGAAGCCACTACATGGGGGAGGGTGGAGCAGAGTGGCTGGCATTGCCACTGTCACACCAAATGGCCTTGGACTTTTAAAAATTGTGACCATGAGGGGGATTGACAAGAGCATGCGTGTGGACCAGCGGTTTGCCAATGAAGAGCCTGGCAAGAGGGAGAGGTGGAGGAGGGCAGATGTGTGGATTGGCATCACATTTTATGGCACACGTGGCCTGGCCTAACAAAGTGAAACTCAGATCTGGCCCTTGTAACAAATGGGTTTGACACCTCTGGTTTGGAAGTTCCTTTAAGAAGCATAGAGATCTTGCTTCATCTTGAGTCGCTTGAGGTGAATGTGGACTGTTTAGTGTGGTGGCCTGCTATGGCACACACTAGTATAAGGATCTGGTATGTAGTCTTTCTGGGTGATCAGAAAGCTGCTGGGGCAGGTTGAGGTCTGCATGTTATAAAGGCTGTAGTGGTCATCTGAAAGGTTAAGAAACCTGAGGGGAACTTGACAGATCCTGGTTAACTTTCCATATTTTAATGTTTTATACAGACATACATATCTGTGGTACAAAGTTGGGCCTGAACCTCCCTAGTCCCCCCCCCCAACATTTCCCTTGTTGTGTTCAGTCTTTGTTCTCCTCCTTGGTATTAAGGGCATAAAATGTTACAATTTGGTTTACCAAGGCAGGGGAGAGGGTACCTGAGGACCACCACCATAATTCATATCTGGAGTGGCTAGCAGTAAATAGTGCCAAGCACTGGTAAGGTAGTTAATAAACATTCCTTTGGCCTTTTTCACAGGTGTGCATGGTGTTGTAACAGTGAAGTGTGGTGTGAGAAGATACTCCTCAATCCCAAAATCAGTATGCGCAGCGCTACCATCTTGAGGACAGTGGCACTGGGCTGTGTGCAGCTTTTCAACCAAAAATATTTTACAGCCTGCTCCTGCCACCCCAGTATAAGTTAAGAAAATCTTGACTAGCTATTAAAATGTTTCCATTGAATGTGGAATGGAATTAGTAATTTGTAACACTTCTATTCTGATGTTAGATAGGTTTATTTAACTTTTCTAAGTGGATTCCAAGAAGGTTCCACTGAGTGGCCTTATAAGAGAGTAGGCTTTCGTCTGGGTTATTTGTTTTCTGCTTTTGCAAAACATAAATGTTTTTCAGGTTTAGGTTTAGATAACAGAATTTAGGACTAACATACTCAGCTGGTTCACACTGCATCCTTTTAGAGAGCTGCCAGTCTACACCCACAAGTAAAATTATATCTAATTTTACACATATTGGGATGACTATTGCATAGAAATATAGTTCCTTCTTTTGTTACATAGCTCAGACCTTTTACTTGCTCTCTGTATGTTCCTCTTTTGCTTAAATAATGTGGTTGGGTGAAACTTTGCTTTAAATAAAAATTGTTTTAAATACTGATCTTAATTATGCCTATTTTAAAATCATCCTGTGGATTTTAATATAATGTATTTTTTCATAATTGAGTAGGGCCATACTCTTAGGGATGCAATTTTTGCCCCCATGCCACGTTCAAGGATTGTTTATAACAGTTAGATGCTGGTTTGACATCATAACTCACAGCATTGTGCTGGTAGAAGATGGTGTCCATTGATTCTGTTGGTATTGATGCCCTGCACCTTCTATGGCTATCCCCAGCAGCCATATGTAAAGGACCTAACTGCTGTG